CCAGCCTCAAGCCCTGGCTCCTGCCAAACCCACCGCCTCAGAAGCTGGACTAAGCCATTAACTTATGTTCCAGTGTGCTAGCCAGACTGTGTGCGGGCTCTACGACAACCAACAAGGGCGTGGGGGAGGAAGAAAACAAGCGAGCTGAAGCACACGCTCCCGATTCCCATCAGAACCTGCTTCTGAGCAAACCCCGAAGGAGGAAGCGTCCTGCTCACGGCATCTGACCTTAAAGAGGTGGGGATGCTTGATGTAGAGTCGCCCTCTTGTTCCTCCCATCCCGAGAGCTCTGAAAGAAGAACACGGAGGGGGTGTTACACCTGCACGGAGGGCGGCCACGGTGGTACGGGGACACCTCCTCTCCTCCCCAAGCCCTTCCTACTGCTTTCGAGGCAGAGAAGCGAAGTGACGGGAGGAGTCCTATGGGCTCCTGCCTTGGAGACACCACCCTCCATCAACAGGGCCATTCCTTACTTGTTTGCTCGAGATCCCAGCACAAAGGTTGTGGTTTCAGTCAGTCGGGATGGATCCCACTACAGAGCAATTGGAAAAGGGGCAACATTAGAAATGAAGCTGGTGCCGGCCCATGCTCCACGAGCCTCAGCTCTCTGATGGGGAACCTTGGAACCACCCCCAGCCTTGGGAGGGAGGGAGCTGGTCACAGACCTCCAGACTTCCACAGAGGAGGGAAGTTACATTCCCTCTGGGCTGATCTAAGCAGTTTCCCTTGTGGGAAACACTTGTGGGATCCTCCTGGCTACTACTGCTCTCCCCAGGCCTCCTAACAGCGGCACCACTCTGCAGAGCTACAGGCTACAGTGCCTGGGGGAGACAAGCAAAGGCCTCCAGGCACTTCGCTCCTCTTCTTGCTCCTCTCCTGCACTGCAGGGGCTCATCGGGGCAGAGCACAGCTTGGTGCTGTCCTCTGCTCCCACAGCAGTAGGGCTCTGCTGGTGGAAGCAAAGGGGAGGAGAGGGTGAGCCCAGCAGTGTCGGCCAGACAATACCTTTGGTCCATCCCTTCTCACGGGCTCAGAGACCTTGAGCTTCCACCTGAGGGGAAAGAAAATGCAGTAAGAATGAGTCCCTGCGGGACCAGTGCAGCCACCACCACAGCAGCAGCAGCAGTCCCTGTGGGACTGAGCCTCAGCCCCTCCAGATCCACCTTTGTTCACACCCTCCATTCCCCTGCAGTGCCCAGCTCCAGACCCACATCTTTGCTGCACGTTCTCCTCTCCCTGGATGCCAATATCCCCCCATCACCCATGTCTTCTCACTCTGAATAGCCCATCTGGACCTTTTCACCCTTCAGGACTGTTTAAAAGTTTTCTTGAAGGTCTTTGCCTCTTTGGGAAAACAGCTCAAGCTAAACCCCTCCTGCCCATCCTCTGGCACCCCTCCCTGCACCTCTCCTTTCTGCAGGATGGGAAGAAGACCGAGGGGTTCCTGTACTCTCTGAAGAGAAGCATCAGGCAGCCCTGCCCTCCTGAATCGCGGAACCCATACTCACGCAGCCATGCCCGAGACCCCACGATCGTTCAACAGGCTCTGTGCTGGAGGCCGCCCCTTTCTCTGCATGGAAGAAATCCTTCAGTGACTCAGCTGTGCAGGTGGAGAGAAGCCTCTCGGTTACACACCCCCTCCCAGGGAAGCTACTCTTTTTGTCACAAACAGAAATGCTGGCTGGCACAAGAGCGAGCACCTCTGAGCACCAAAAAAGCTGCCTGGGCAGTTGCATGTGCTCATATTGTTGGAATGGCCAGGAACGAGGGACAAGGCTTCCCAAAACGTACAATCCCTTGTGTGGAAAACCCTCCTACCTTTTTGGGAATGGGGCTCCCTCGACGATTCAGCTCCTCATCCATCTGTCGGGCACGCTGGAAGAGGAATGGCAATGGGATGAGTAGGGCACTTGCCCCTGCCAGGTGAGCAGGGCCCCACGTATCCATCCGGCCGCTCTCTCCTCTGCCACGCTCGAGGCAGAGAGCACGAGTGCCCAGGGAAATGCCAACCCCACCCCGTGTCTGTGAGAAGCACCGAGCTCCAACAAACAGCAACTGCTCCTGGGGTTTCTGTTGTCCTTTAGGTACTGCTCCCCTTGAGCCTAACATCCCCCAGCTCCACCTCC